TCTTGCTTTGAGTAGCAGAATTTTTCAGATATTTGTGAGAACTTTTAGAGGATCTCGGTAACGGTACTCGTATATCCTCTTGCCTCCTTGTGTTTCTCCTCCTACCAGTGGTTGGAATGACCTTCTTCTTCTTGTTTCTCTTCCTCAATTTCCAGAACTGGAAATCTTGACGGAGAAACTAGATTCTCTTCTTGATCCCCATTGTTTTGATTTTGCTTCCCCACTTTTGTAGGTGAAACTTTTGTCCACAAACTCTCATCAATTAAAGTCTCCAACTTTACGAGTTTCTAACAAATACCGAATGAGAAGATCCTGCAGAAGATCTTAGAGCGAATCAAAACCGTGGTCGGCCAATGTCTAAGGTTTGCCAACCCGTTCTAAAACTGGGAGTTGTGTTAACTTTGGAATAAGTTAAGATCATCAAGAAGACAAGAAACCATGTTTTACACGCACATAATTAGGATTTCTCTATGAATTGCACAAACCAGATTTGGTACTAGAAGTGAGCTTACAATGGGCCAAGAATGAATATAATGTTGACCCATTAACAACCCAATATAATTACGTCGAGTTCATGTTGGTGAATTTACAATTTGCATTGTTCAGTTCAAATATTTGTTATATGTTTTGAGTTTAATAGGCATTGATTATGTTGGAGCATAGGAAAGAGCATATGCACAAATCATTACATTGATTGAATCCAAAAGATATTAAACAAAATTCCGAGTCCTTTTGTGCGAATGGATTCTTGAGGCAACTGTTCAAGATAGTGGACGGGTCCTTTGGTTCGACCCAAGGATATTCCATAGATGGATCTCTTAGGAACTTTCTGAAATGATGAACCAAAGATTGCAGAGGAAGAAAACAAAATCATGTCCAATAAAATCTCAGATACTTCAGGGGAGCTCGAAAGGGTACAGATCATGTTACAGGAACTCACAGCTGAGTCAAGCAAACTGAAAGAGCAGCTTACCGGGAAAGAAGGCGAACTTTTACTTCTGACAGAAAAGGAAAGCAAATTGCAGGTGCAAATAAAAGAACTAGAGGCAACAGTAGTGACCCTTGAGCTGGAACTAGAGTCAGTTCGCGCCCGTAAAGACAGAGATTGCAAGCAAGACCACTGAAGTTGAGCAACTGGAAGCGCAAAACAGAGAAATGGTTGCTAGAATCTCAGAACTTGAGAAGACAATGGACGAAAGAGGAACTAAACTCTCTGCTTTAACCCAAAAACTTGATGATAACGAGAAGCAATCATCGTCCACAATTGAGAGTTTGACAGCTGGGATCGATGGCTTACGAGCAGGACTAGATTCAATGACTTCTCAAAAGGAAGAGTTGGAGAAACTAATGGCAAGCAAGGGCGATGAAGCTTCAATGCAGATTAAGAGTTTGGAAGATGAGATCAGTGGTCTGAGCTAAAAAGCTGTCTCACTTGAGAGCCAGAAAGCAGAACTCGAGATCCAACTTGAGAAGAAGTCCCAGGAGATCTCTGAATATTTGAGTCAGGTTACAAATCTAAAAGAGAAGATGGTAAATAAGATCACGAGATTATTATGGAAGAAAGAAATGGTTTATATGAGAAGATCAAGGGCCTTGAAGTTGAGCTAGAGACTCTACAGAAACAGAGAAGTGAGCTTGAAGAAGAGCTGGGAACTAAAACAGAAGAGAACGTTCAAATGCGCGATAAGATCAACGAAGCATCCGCTGAAACAATGGCCTTAACAGAACAGATCAACAATCTGCAGCATGAACTTGATTCTCTAAAAGTGCAGAAGAGCGAAACCGAAGCAGAGCTTCATAGAGTGAAGCAAGAAAAATCAGAACTGTCGAACCAAATCATCGATGTTCAGAGAGCATTAGTAGAGCAAGAAGCTGCTTACAACACACTGAAAGAGGAACACAAACAGATGAACGAAACGTTCAAAGAACGTGAGGCAACACTCGATAAGCTAACCGATGATCACAAAGAAGCCCATAGATTGTTGGAGGAGACAAGTAAGGATGTAACTTCCAGAGATTCGGCAATCGGTAATCTTGAAGAGACGATGGAGAGTTTACGTAACGAGCTGGAAATGAAAGGAGACGAGATCGAAACTCTCATGGAGAAGATCAGTAACATTGAGGTTAAGCTACGATTATCGAACCAGAAACTCAGAGTAACCGAACAGGTACTAACGGAGAAAGAAGAAGCTTTCAGGAAAGAGGAAGCTAAACACTTAGAAGAACAAGCATTGCTTGAGAAAACTCTCACGGTAACACACGAGAGTTATCGAGGCATGATCAAAGAGATAGGAGAGAAAGTAAACATAACACTAGATGG